GTAAAGATTATCGGTCTCACATCCTAGCTAAGGCATTATTTCGTTGTGGGTTGCTCGTTTCGTCTTCAAATCGCCAAATTTTCAACTTTCAAAACCTTAAATCGAGGTATTCCAACTTAGTTTTTGTTAAAACTCGTATAAAAAATGCATATTAGTTGTTTTGAATGTGTTGTATGTTGTTTTGTATTTTTTTTTATTTTTTTTTGCGATTAAATTGGTATGTTATTTTTTTCCGGACTAAGATATCAATGTTGTAAAAAAATATGTAAAGATTGTGAAATCGTTATTATTTGTTAATAAAAATATTAATAAATTACTATTACTGTTTTATATGTATTTTTGTGAATGTTTTGTGACTACAATATATTTGTTGTATTTTATCTGGTTTAAATTATTTATTTGCTTAAAGACTAGTAATATAATGCCTTTTAGGATAGTAAAATGTAATGTCTTTTAGCGTAGTAAAATGTAATGCCTTTTAGCATAGTATAATGTAGTACCTTTTAGCGTGGTAAAATGTCATGCCTTTTAGCGTAGTTTCCCTGTAATTTAAGTATCTTTTATACTCAAAAATACGTCAAAATAACTGATAGATCAAACACAAATCTGTGCAATTATAGTCAACATATAATTGGTGCTACTGCGCCGCAAATATCGAGCCTGGAACCCATATATGAATATTTAATAATTAAATATTTGATAATTATAAAAATTACTTATTTAATTTACAAACAAACATATAAAATTATAAAACTAACATGTAAAATAATAAAGCTAACAAATAGAAGAATTCAGGATATATTGGTTCTACTGGGCCCCAAATATGGAGCCTGAAACCCATATATGAATATTTAATTATAAAAAATTATCATGTAAAATAATAAAACTAAAATATAGAAGAAATCGGGATAAATTAGTGCTACTGGGCTCCAAATATCGAGCCTGGAACCCATATGTGAATATTTATTTATAAAATTTTATTATTTAATTTACAAACTAACATATAAAATTATAAAACTAACACATAGAAGAATTCATGATAAATTGATGCTACTGGGCTCCAAATATCGAGCCTAGAACCCATAAGTGAATATTTATTTATAAAATTTAAATATTTAATTTACAAACTAACATATAAAATTATAATAAAACTAACCCATACAAGAATTCAGGATATGTTGGTGCTACTGGGCCGCAAATATCGAGCCTGTAACCCATATGTGAATTTTTAATAATTAAATATTATATAATTATAAAATTTAATTATTTAATTTACAAACTAACATATGAAATTATAAAACTAACATGTAGTTAATGTTGTTTAATTTACAGTAGACGACATGGAGGTGCCGCCTATTCATCCCGGACCTTCCAGCGATGAGCTACTGTCTTTACAGGGCGATCATAGGTCCGCCCACATATGGGAGGGAGAGTTATTGACCCAGAATCTCCACGTCAGGAGAGCGGACGACATGTAGGACTTTCTGCATGACAGAGTACTCCATGACCGTGTAGTCACACGCCTGCGGGAGACAGGTTTCTACAGGATTTTGGAGATCGAGGGCTGCAGCTCGATTGGTCTTTGGTCACGGCCCTGATAGAGCGGTGGCGACCGGAGACGCACATATTCCACCTGCCCATTGGCGAGGCCAACATCACACTGCAGGACGTGGAGGTTTTATATGGGCTGCCCGTTAATGGACAGCACGTTGCTCTGCCACCTGGCATGAGAGAGATGACACGTGTGCAGTACTTGGACATGCTGCAGCGGCTCACTGCTTTCCGGCCAGAGGATGAGAATGTACTGGCTGGGACCAGCGTTTTTCGTTGACGACTATTCGACAGTGGTTGGAGGCATTGCATCCCGAGATCGATGACGATGCACCGGATTATCATGTTGACCGGTAAACGAGGTTGCTACTACTCCTTATGTTTGGAGGGGCATTGTTCCCGAACACTTTGGGGAACCTAGTGAGCTTGAGATTTCTTCATCATCTTGAGCGGCTAGATGATTTACCCCAGTACAGCTGGGGCGCTGCTGTTCTCGCGTACTTGTATAGGCATATGTGCCGGGTGAGCATGGGCACCCAGCATCACGTTGCTGGATTTTTATCCGCTACTACAGGTGACAACATATTCGAATACTCTATTCATTTTAACATACCTAGTAAAAATATATCTTAAATTTTACGTCAACTTTTTATGTTAGGTTTGGGCCTGGGAGCGGTTCCTGCAGTTGCAGCCACCTCTACCACCATTAGATCCGGATGTACCACCGGAGTTGCTCCCTCTAGCTAGGAGGTGGATTCTTCGGCGGGGACATAGGCGCGAGTACGAGGCTCAGTATAATCTCTCCTTGTGTAGGGATATATTGGATTTGTTGGATGGCGCACAGGTAAATGTATATCTAAGTTTACTTGTCATAGCTTCAAACACAAGTTGCGTATACTGACGTTTTCTGTTCTTACTTAATAGTTCATCTGGACGCCATACATCAACGAGTTGATATATGGCTTGCCTGTTATTGCTCGACCGGCCAATTTATGTGGGGCTCTTCCGTCCCGTTGTTCTGCCTTGATATTGTGGAGCATCATGCCACGAGTGGGTACCTCGCCAGTTTGGCCTTCCGCAGCTCGTACCGATGCCGCCCACCTGGGAGACCACACATTACCAGCGGGATGATCGTCCAAGGTGGACGACACATTTTTGGCATGGGTACAAGAGCAGATATTTACTTGGGACCGGCGATCTGACCTAATTCCGCCCCGGGAATCCCATTCATCGAGCTGGCGGTCGGTACGTTCCATACACCGGGAAGCACGAGGCACTGGTATGTTATTTGGTATTCTTACTTATAATTGTGATCTAGCGTTCCATAATTTATATTTTACATGTTATGCAGGCTATTGGCCTACATTTAGTCCACCAGTTGGGACTGCAGATGCAACAGCATGACGGCGATCCTGCGGTCGCTTTACACGAGTATGCCTGGCAGGTTACGGAGCTGACTGCCCAGACACTGCATCGAGCCAGAGAGGATGAGCGCTTAGAGCACGTCCCTACTTATGTAGCCACAGAGCACTACCATCGAGGTAGGCCTATCCCACGAGCTAGGGGACGACGAGGCAGGGCTGTCCCACAAGACAGGGGTGCCCCACGAGGCAGGGCTGTCCCACGGGGTCGTGGGGGTCGGCGAGGAGGTGGTCCCTAGCAAGGGGGCATTAAGACACCTGTTGAGGATGTTGGAGCTGATCTGCTGGGTGACCTCCATCAGCTAGACGAGCATTCCAGCATCATGTCGTTGTACAGCCTTCAGCTGGTGTTCACTCCAGCCGCATCGCAGGTGATCCCGTCAGATCCACTATTGATCACGGGCACGAGCATTATCGGACATTATTGGGAGCATATATTTTCAGGCCCATCGGCCGCTGCTAAGGATCGGCCGACCCGAGATGTGGATGGTGGGCACCGGCTGAGTTATGGCTCATCGTCGACGGGTGGTGTGGATCTTTCACAGGTGCAGGTATGTTTGTATTACTATTAAATTTAAATATGTTTTTATCTCATTGATTCGCAATAAATAACTTTATAATTTTCTTATTAAGGCTTCATCTCAGCCCGTCACGGATGCCACTTTGTGCGATGCTGAGCAGGAAGCGACGGATGCTTATATTCAGGAGCCCGACGAGACCATGGTAAGAAGCAACCCCTTGCGGAGTCAGCGTAACAAGCAACCCCTTGCGGAATCACAGAATACGGATATCTTCCGGTTATTTTAAGATTCACCGAACGTTTGCTCAGCCTCATTTTATTGCATAACAACGATACCTGTCTATCGTAATCCATTGTAAGTGGCAACTTAACATGACTCTGTGGAGATAAACTATAGCTCATTGAGTTATTCGCCACCACAACCTCACCCCCCCCCCCCCCAATATAATGAAACCCTTACTTTTCGTACTTTAGACATAAAAGCTTGAGAATTCAACAACAAGAAGAATTTATCACGAAGTTGGAGTATTTTTGAATGATTTTTCTCAAAACCCTTAATGCCTTTAAATAAGGCAATGCCCAATCCAGAGGGGAGGGGGGTTGAGGTCAAATTTTTGGAAGTAAAAAGCAATTTAAAAGGACGTTTTACATATTTGAATTATTGTTATGTCAGTTAAGCGCAGAAGAGTTATTGGTAGGCCCACAAAACATGTAAAGTGCGGTTTATTACTGTGTTTTATGTAAAACACAGTAATGAACCGCGCTTTATATAGCCGTCTTATCAGCTTCCAGGTAAAGCGCGGTTCATTAACGCATTTTATGTAAAACGCAGTAACAAACCGCGCTTTACCTTAACGTCCCCAATGGCCGTTAAGGTAAAACGTGGTTCATAACCGTGTTTTATATAAAATGATAACTTTTTTTTTTCCACCTAAAAAAGTATTTTGAGTCTGAAAGATTCACATTTTGGTTCCGGATTCCACATGGGTCCATGGCATACATAGCAACTAGCTCATTTATAACTAATTAAGTTTAATTTATATACAACTCAAGATAATATTAATAAAGAAATTTCCACATTTTTAGATCATAACGTAAAGTATTATTCTCTTTAATGTGATTTTTTTAAAACAAATTACCTAGTATAACAAGTAAAAATGACCTTATAATGCTAAAATTTTCTTAAACTCTTGGTTTACATAAATCAAACTCTTAACTAAATTTGCATTCATAATGGATGATGAAACAGATTTTTATACTTCAAGAAATACCCCACCACCTTCCCCATTATCAACCCCCCCTCCCATCCACCTCCATACCCATATAAGTGTGAAAACGACCAATCATCATGCCCATTAACACACCCCCATTCCCCAAGCGCACCCCACCCCACCCCCACCCCCCCAAAAATAAAAAAAAAAAAGAAGCTAAAATAACAAGTACTAAAAAAGAATTCTCGTATTAAACAAAAAAAGTTATCTTCTTCTTTTTCCCTTTCCCATTAGTAGTCGGACCACCGTTTTTTGCTTCACTAAACAACCAACATCCTCCTCTTTATTTTTATTTACCAAAAAGAAAAAAAAAACTTTATCCATTCCTTTTGTGAGCCTTTATAAATACACAACACAAGTAATACTAACCACATTCTAAAATATAGAATTGATAAACCCCTTTAGTTACTTTCCTCTCCTTTTGTCTTGATCATCTTGAAATATACTTTGAAAGCTTCTCCATCTCCAAAGGCCAAAAAAGAAGAGAAAAAAAAACTATGTTAAAGAAGAGAGACATTGCTCTTTGGGCAATACTTATGGTCTTTGTTCTTGGGTTTCATACATATTCAGCACAGAATATTAGCAGAAATAACTTTCCAAAGGGTTTTGTTTTTGGGACTGCTTCTTCTGCTTACCAGGTTTGTCTTCTTCTCTTCACATGCATGTGAATCACTCATTCTATATCCATTCAGTATAACTTTTTATATTCTTTTTCTTTCTTCATATTTTATTATCCTTTTCCTGAACCACGAATAATTAAATAATTAATTAATTAATTTAGTTTCTTTCATCTTTTCTTATTCTCCTTTATTAGTCCAAGGCAACAAACAATAGTTTCTAAGATCATCTTCTCATGGCTTTAAGATTACTTTCTCTATTTAATAAAGAATACTAATAGTACATTTACTTAGATAAAAATCAGGGTTTGTTGGAGCTTTCAGTCCATTCTTTACTTCAACTATTAGTTTGGTATTTTGGTATATAGAAGTGTAAAAGCTAGCTAGCAATCCCTGTCCTTATCATCTTTTCTTTATTAATAAAATTGATGCTTTAATTGAACGTCATTTTCTACTAGAATCTCTTTGTTTTTTCTTTTGTTTTTTTCTACCACATAGCCAAAAGATTCGCATTAAGTAGGTAACAAAGTTCAAAAATGGTAAAAGGATAAGGAAAAAATAAAACGTTGGAGCCTTAATTAGATAAACGTGTAGTATATGATTACATTATATAGGCTGTCGTAACTTCTCTCATAAATGTGAAATATCTCCAATGGTGTGACTTTATTGTTATAGATAAATGTAAATATTCCTAATTAAATAAAATTAAAAAAACAGAAATGGAAGCATCAATAAAAGTTGGTTCGGTCAATATAACAGAATCCGTTATTTGATGAGGGAGAGTGCTCATTGCGTCAAGAAAGTTGGGAATTTTTACTAAGCATCTTTACATTTTCTCGATTGGGTTACTTTATCTTTATGCTACGTATCAAACAGCTCACTAAATCAAAAGTAAATTACATTGAACACCCATGTAATATAACAAAGCTGTAGATACAACCCTTTATATTTCAAAATCATGCACTTAACCCCCTTAATTAGAATGACAATTCTACCCAAATATTCTCTTAATAATATTTTTACTTTACAAAGGTGTGTTAAGTGTTTAGTTTTGGAAAATAGGGTGTATATCTGTATCTAAGTATATAAAAGTATAATAACTTAGAGACAAGTTAAAATTACAAAATTAAAAGTTGCTATATATTTAATTATGAAAATTAAGAAAGAGAATAGGTATTTTTTTCCACTTCCCTGCTGGACTTTTTCTTGTAGCTTTTGATTTTTCCATGACTCATCATTATAACGTAACTAAAGTCGATGAGCTAATTCAAATGTTAAGGTTGAGGTGCCTAAAATTACAATGGACTTTATGTTTATATCTCGATATAAGCTTGATCATAACATATAATCTTCTCCTAATTATATAAAATTGAACTCCATCCGTCCCAAAGGAAGAAAAAGAAAAAGAATGTGATTGGCCAATGCATCTGATTTTTAGTGCCAACTACGATATAGAGTCCTCAACTTTCTTGAATAAAATTTGCATACTTAGAAACTCTATCAAGCTACTATATCACAATTTTTTTCTAATTAAAAATATCTAAGAATGTTTAAGAGATCGTAAATCAAAGAAAAAATTATATTGGTATGTAAAAATACACTGTGTAAATAGGTAAAAATAAATAAATTATATGTATATATACTATGTATTGACTCCTCTTAATTTCCTTGTATGTTTACTTTTATATATTTTGACACCCTTTAACGAAAATTCTAGCTCCGCCACTATAAAATTGAATATATGTAGTGCTTTATAATTTATGTGTTACTAGCTTGTTATAACAATTCAAACTGATAACTCATTGCCCATGGCATTATATTGCAGTTTGAAGGGGCTGTAAAGGAGGATGGAAGAGGTCCAACCATATGGGATAAATTTTCTCATTCTTTTGGTAAAACTTTGCTAATATTGTCTATTGATGATTTTTTTTAGCAAAATGAGACTTATGATCCGTTTGTCCACAGATTTTTTTTCCTTTTTCGGTTTTTTTTTTTAAAATTTTTTGTTTTAAAAATGTGTTTGTCCATGAAATTTTGTAAGTTTTTTTATATTTTTCGAAAATAGGTTTTTCAAAACCCAATTTTTCGGAAAAACTTTTTTCCCACTCACGAAACTGTAATAATTTATCAAGTCAAATGCATTTCCAAACATAATTTCAAATTTCAAATACCACTCTTCAATTTAACTCCAAATGCTACTGTTTTTCAAAAATTATAATTTTTATGCCCAGCTTACTTAATCAGTAAATATTACTGCTAATTTGGATGGATTTTGTAGGTAAAGTACTTGATTTTAGCAATGGTGATGTAGCCGTGGATCAGTATCACAAGTACCCGGTAAATCTATTCATATTTATAAACACTATATTACAGTAACATTTTCCATACTTCCTTTCTTTATATCAAAATTATAAACCATCAAATAATTCCAATGCTCTGTTTTTCTAACAGGAAGATATACAGCTTATGAAGAATATGGGAATGGATGCTTATAGATTTTCTATTGCTTGGGCCAGAATATTCCCTAGTAAAGCTTCTTTCCCTTTTTCCTACTTGCCTACTTGGGTTAAATAGCCGCTTTGAGCACTTCTATTTAACAAAAAAAAAAAAAAAAAAACGTAAAAACGGTTATTTTCAACTTTTACGCCGCGCCAAGAACTATAGAAAAGTATATAAAATTTATATAATTTTTGTGTATAACATACAAAATATATATATATATACAACAAATATACATTTTTTGGCTATTATTTTGCGAGTGGCGATATTGTGTCATTTTCCCTTTAAAAAAAATTATAGTAAAAATAGCACGGACTAGCCAGTTTTCGGATTGGTCATTAAAAAATAGCCAGCATTCGCAAAGTCATTGAAAAATAGCCACTATTTTGCTGCAACAGGGATCGGTCCAGCATAACCTGTGTATGAACTTCCAGCATATTATGCTGGAACTCCAACACACGGAAAGTTCTAGCATAATATACTGGAGATTGGAGCACCTGTGTATGAACTTCCAGCATATTATGCTGGACCGGTATATTATACTGGAACTCCAGTATATTATGCTGGAGTTCCAGTATACTTATGTTGGAACTGCATTATAATATGCTGGAGTTCCAGTATACTTATGCTGGAACTCCAGTATATTATGCTGGAGTATTTTCCGAATTTTGAACAGTGTTTTCGTTCAAATTTATCTTTACATGAAAAGTGGCTAAATTTCGGTTACTTTTGAAACTGTGACTATTTTTGAATAACCACTTGTAAATCTAGCTATTTTTGAATTTCCCCCAAAAATATAGTCAGCTTTGACAAACTATTTAAAGTTTAGACATGTCAAATAGAGCTTAATTTCAGACTTTCATCTACACTTCGGAACTGAAGGTCTAAATTTTGAAATTTCAGACCAGCGGTGTCAACTTCAGATTAGAGAGTCTGGAATTGATTTTGAGGTTGTTATACGTAAAAAAAAAATTGACTATTTTTCAAAAGAGGGGTTCTAAAAACAGCTATTTGTGCACTTCCCTATATATTATGTTGTAACTATAATATAATCTTTATTTTGCAACATATAATTAAGAGTAAAATCCAGTTTACCCCCTTAACCTTTAAGGCATGGGAAACTATACTCTCTTCACATTTTGAATGGGAACGGCAACCCCTTTATAATCAAAAATCGGTTGGAAAAGAATAACTATTATCACTAAAAATAAAAATTCAGAATAAACCCTCTTTTTGGAGGTAATAGTTTTGGCGCTAGTACATTCCCAGTAACTTAAAAAAATGAACATATTGGAATATTTTTCATTCCCTACCATTAAATAAATATAAGTACCAAAGAACTGCAATTGTTAAAGGACAACAATGAACATGTTGGAATAAACTCAATCACTCATTGAATATATTAAAAAAATATCATGACCATGCAAATTCAATTGTTCCAACACATATGTGCCTTGATTGGTTGATCCAAAGAACTTTAATTGTAATCGAAATTGAGAAAATTAGATGATCCCTCACAATTTGGACTATTAATCAACGAACATCCTTGATGCAAAGTCAAGGACGCTATCCCACTCACTAGATGAGTTTCCTGCACTATATTGGACAACTCGTCCAGTTGTTGACGCTCGAGAAAATAGCATCTCCAAAAGGTGTTGGTTGCCTGTGCAATTGAGATGTTCCAAGTTGTGTAGCTGAAGAAGCAATTTGACTTGGTCTAGGTGGTTGAACCTNTACTATATTAACCTATGGTATGAAAAATACCCTATTATTACCTGTGAGGCCAGTACAAATTGGTCCATGTTTGACATTCTGATACCATTCCAGTTCCCTATTCCACAATATGGACCATGTTTATTTTGCTTTCCTATTCCTCTCGCTCTTCCTCTGCCCCTGCCTCTACCATTCATGGACTGCAAATTAGTTGCTCCCCTGCCTCTAGTTGTTGCTCTACCATAGCTATTATTATTTATCTCTGTTTCTATTCCTCTTTCCCAAACTCTAGGATTAGTGGGTAACTTATTAAGCTCACTCACACCATTAGCACCTCTTCCATTGTTCTATTGAACACACACACAAAAAAAAAAGCCAAATCAAGTATAAAAAGAAAAAAGAGGAAAAATAAAAAGCTTAAGCTAAATCAAGAAAAATACCTGAACAATTCTTTTTTGCCTTGGCTTGCTGGGATTTTTGCATGTCTTTTTATTGTGTCCGATCTCATGACAGTTGCTGCATTCATGAGGATAGTCAAACTTCCTCACCTTGTTGGGATTTATTGGTTCATCTATACCTATTTTCCTGCTCTTTCTTGGTCTTCCGGGTTTATCATCTGAAGCTTCAGGTGGTAGAATAGGATCACCCGGTGCAATGTCCCATTGTGATTGATCTGGTATTGGAATAATTGTCCCAGAATAAGCTTTCTTGAATGTCGAAACATGGTAAAATGGATGTACAAAGTCTTCTAGTTCACGACGAGCAGTCATTATGGCGCTAACTCCGTGTCTGCATGGTATAGTGCCAAACATATTCTGGCGCTAAAACTATTCCCTCCAAAAAGAGGGTTTATTCTGAATTTTATTTTTAGTGATAATAGTTTTTCTTTTCCAACTGATTTTTGATTATAAGGGGGTTGCCGTTCCCATTCAAAATGTGAAGGGGGTATAGTTTCCCATGCCTTAAAGGTTAAGGGGGTAAACTGGATTTTACTCTATAATTAAATTAGGAAAACGCCTTAAATTTTATCTACTTGTGTGAAACCACTGTCCTTTTTCATGCTATAAACCAATTAAGTCCAAATTCTAACATAATTAACTCTGTCTTTCTAATTATTATCAGATGGAACTGGAGAAATCAATCAGGCTGGAGTTGATCACTATAATAAGTTGATCAATGCTTTACTAGCTAATGGTACAATTGACATTCCCACTCTTCTATCTTTTTTAGATAGTAGTATATATTTCTTTCAGCATTTATGTTAAAAAAATTCTTACATCAAAGATTAGTTGTTTTTTACAATTAATGTATGTTAATCCTCAGGAATTCAACCGTATGTAACACTATACCATTGGGACCTTCCTCAAGCTCTAGAAGACAAATACAACGGATGGCTAAGCCCGCAGATCATGTAATTAAGTTCACTACATATTTTCCAACTTAACTGTTTAATCTTTGTCTGGATTTGTATTATGTGACATTTTAAGTTCATTTAAACAGAAAAGATTTTGCAATATACGCGGAGACGTGCTTCCAAAAATTTGGTGACAGAGTGAAGAACTGGATCACTATCAATGAGCCACATACTGTTGCCATTCAAGGATTTGATGTAGGGCTTCAAGCGCCCGGGCGATGTTCCATCCTTCTCAAAATTTTTTGCAGGGCTGGAAGCTCTGCAACTGAACCTTACATTGTTACTCATAATCTACTACTTGCTCATGCAACTGTTGTTGACATTTACAAAAGAAAGTACAAGGTAAAGTTGTTGGATAAGAGAAAGGAAGCAATAAATGTCATTTTGCTTAAAAAAGAGATTAATCTTTGTGTGATCATTTGCTGTTGCAGCCAATACAACATGGATCAATTGGGATATCACTAGATACCTTTTGGTATGAGCCTTTGACAAACTCCAAAGATGACATTGAAGCAACACAAAGGGCCATTGAGTTTAACTTAGACTGGTAATATTTTGTTGTAGTAGTCTAAATGCTACTCATTTTTCGCGTCCAATTGTTAAAACGTGTCCTGGAATATTCAGTGTGAGACTTAATTTGATGGTGAAATGATTTGTAACTGAATTCAGGTATCTTGAACCTATAATGCTTGGAAGGTATCCAAGTTCAATGGTAAATAGAGTGGGAAACCGGTTGCCAAAATTTTCACCAGCTGAATCTGCTCTTGTGAAAGGTTCCTATGATTTCATAGGCATAAATCATTATACTACATGGTATGCCAGCAAGAGCAAAACCAACATAATTGGTGTTCTGCTCAATGACTCCCTCGCAGACTCTGGTGCCATTACCCTCCGTATGTCATTAACGCCTTCTTTATTTACTCATTACCCGATTTATGAGACTCATTCTACATTAAGAAGTAAGCGTTTTCGCCATGCTTTTGTATCTTGCAGCATTCAAAGGATTAACGCCGATAGCAGAAAGGGTATGTAACTTCATTCAATTAACCATTTTCAGGTCACCAGAGAAAGAAGCTTTAATTTTGAAGCAAGTTAAATACTGCCGGCCTTTAGTTACTGTAGTTTTGAGAATTGATATCACCGATAATTTTTACTTGCAGGCAAGTTCCATATGGTTGTACATAGTACCTCAAGGAATCAGAAGCTTAATGAACTACATAAAGCAAAAGTATGGGAACCCTCTAATCATAATCACTGAAAATGGTAAGTCTTTAAATCAGCAATGCAGGTACTAAACCATGTCATTTCATGACATTTTTATGTCATTTCCCTTTTGTTAATTATCATGAAACAAGAATCCTTTGCTTGCGACTGTTACAGGAATGGATGATTCAAATAATGCATTCGTATCGAGACAAGATGCTCTCAAGGATACAAAAAGGATCAAATATCACAATGAATATCTTACTAACCTGTTAGCTGCTATCAAGTAAGCTATTCAAATAGCATCGATACTAGCTACAACTTGGTCAACAAACATAAAACACTACTTATTTATCGTTTACTATGGAAGTATATGTTTAATACAGCTATATTTTGCTGAATATGCAGAGAAGATGGCTGCAACGTGAAAGGATACTTTGTGTGGTCTCTGATGGATAACTGGGAATGGGCAGCTGGATTTTCGTCGAGGTTTGGTCTTTATTATGTGGATTACAAGGACAACCTCAAGAGATATCCTAAGAATTCTGTGAACTGGTTCAAGAATTTCCTTGGATCTGCTTAAATGGATGGAAGTTCAAGAGATACATTTCACTTCAATTACAGATAAACATAGTTTCCACGTACAAGGAAAAAAGGGAATGTATACAACATTAATTCTTTCGCACTACCTAATTATTTTTCAGCAAAGTTCACTGGATTTGCTAATACAAAGGTTGTTTGATATCTTGCAAAGTAGATCATATTTGTTGTTCATCCTTTTCTTTACACTACTAGAATTCCGGAAAAAAGCGACCAAACTTTAGCGACCAAAGTTGGTCTGTCAAGAAAAGCGACCAACGTTGGTCTCTAAATTGGAGAAAATATTAAAATAATTATTTTAAATACATTAGCGACCAAAGTTGGTCGCTATTTGGTTAATAATTTCGTCAAAATGTTGACCGGACTGGTCAGACTTGCTTGGTCAAAGAAATACTGAGATTAGCGACCAGCGTTGGTCGCTATAGTGGGACCCACTTTCTAAATTTTAATAGTTATATTATTATTTAAAAAAAATTATAAAATATAAATAAATATAATTCAAAGTTAGCGACCAAAGTTGGTCGCTTATAAAATAGAGACCAACTTTGGTCGCTAATATGGGACCCGTTTAACAATTATATTATTATTTTAAATATTATATAAAATATAAATAAATCTGATTTAAATTGCTTTGGTCGCTAATTTAAATTTAAGTATAATTAGCGACCAAAGTTGGTCTCTTTTCAGGTCAACAATGGTCAAAATTAAAAATCACTTTTGTACTTACTATCTAAATAATATAAATGTAAGCTGTTAACACTTTTGTAACACAAGAGATGAATAGACTAAAATATACTATGTACTAAGTATAAGCGTATTAGGTAATATTATATCGAATATGGCTTATATATATGTAATATATATAGTTACGCTGTACTATGCACTAAGTATAAGCGTATTAGGTAATATTATATCAATATAGCTTATATATATATGTATAATATATATAGTTACGCTGTACTATGCACTAACTATAAGCGTATTAGGTAATATTATATTAATATAGCTTATATATGTCACACCTCCTTTTTTACACACCTACTCCGAAAGGATAAATGTATAAGGGAGTTTTTCCAGTAAAAGTGACATTATTCGAAATGGGATTATTTATTTATTTTTTAGAGTCGCCACTTGGGATAGGATTAGCTTTTGGTGTCCCAAGTCACCGGTTTAATTTGAATCCCAAATCGAGGAAAATTTCGACTTCCCAATTGGAGTCTGCGAACCAGAAATTCTGAATAAGGAATTCTGTTGACCCGAGGGAAGGTGTTAGGCACCCCCGGATCCCGTGGTTCTAGAACGGTCGCTTAAATTATTATAAATGGCTAATATATATATAGTTAAATAAATAAAAGTGAGTAGGAATCCGTTACAACAACTACCGATGACTA